TGGGGAGGCCGGTTCACCAAGAAGTGCTTTTCCACTCTCTCTGCTCAGACCCTACCACCTTGCTGTGCCTTGTCCCCAGCACACACTAAGTGCCTTGGTGTCCTGCCCATGTGTAATCATGCAACTCCAAGTACTTGCCCTCTGTGTATGCTCAAGAGCTACAACAACAATTTCCCCCATTTCCTGCTTCGTGCTGCCCGCAAACAGCTGCTATACTCGCCCTTCAAAGGGTCAGAAATTGGTTCCTACATCCAGAATCAATTCATGTTGGGTTATGAAAGTACAACAGGCAGTAAAGTTAACCCCAGCACTTCACCCTTTCCCATGAGGAACCTCCTTGAGGCTCTGAGAGAGCAGACAAGTCAGGGCCACAGATTTTAGGGTGTACCCCAAACAGGGTACTAAAGGAGGAGGGACTGGAAGGACAGCAGTGAGCCTTGGGGTCTGTGCTGACTGGGCTTCTCTCCCATCTGGGCCTCTGCAAAAACAGGACAAGAGCCCTGGCATGACATGTAGGTTACTGTACAGAGGGGTTATAATGATGATGCCCACTTCAGCAAGCCCCAGGGTTTCCCACAGGAGCCCAGCTAGATCAGCCACCTTCCTGTGCCACAGTCCCAGTGCTGCCCTGGTACCAGGGCAGGGCAAAGGCACTTCTAAGGCAACTGCCCAGCATTTATCCACGTACCTTGCTTCTCCTTCCTTGTCTGCACAAACTCGGAATGCCGCAGGGCGCTGGGAGCCGTCCGTCTGTAGAAGCTGTTTCTTTGCAGCATGGAGCCCACCCTGTTTGCTTCCTCGGCCTCCTGCTCCCATATCTGGCTCCAGTCTGGACGGCCTGTGCGTACTCTTGAGCCCTCTGCTCTGCCACCGCTCCTGACTGGCATCCCAGGCCCTGGGGCTGCTCCTTCCAGCTCCCCACAGCCATCATAGTCCACGTCTCTTGTCTTGGACTGTGTGTAGCCAGTGCTTGACCTCAGGCTCACATTACTGTCTCCTGAGGATCTGACTGCATATGCAGGAGCTTCACAAACTCTGTCCAGACTGCTGTGATTCATGACATGGCCTTTAGGCTGCCTGTGCTGCTCAATGTCTTCTTGGTCTACTTGGTCCCTAACACCTATATACCGCCTTTCCTGCTGTCTATATGCCCCAGAGCATCCATCCTCTCTATACAACTTTTCTCCTTCCCTATATACTTGATTGTCTCCATTCTGTCTATACTGTCTTCTCCCCTCCCTATACTCCCCAGAGTCCCTCTCCTGCCTATACCACTTTTCCTTTTCCCCATGTTTTCTATCCTCATGGTAGTTCCTAGTATCTCTGTCCTCCTGATACCATCTTCTCCCCTCCCTACAGTCTTCAGGTACTCTGTTCTCTCTGTACTGCCTTCCCCCCTCTCTGTATGGTCCAGGTACTCTGTTCTCTCTGAACTGCCTTTCCCTTACCTCAGATCTGCAGTCTCTATGTTGAATGCCCTCCCTCTCATACATCCTATAGTTTCTAACCTCTGTGTCCTGGCTTTTGCCTTCCCAAGCCCCACCTTCTCTCCTGCAGTCTGTGTACTGGATATCTCCCTTCCAAAAATCTCCAGAGTCTCCATTCATGCCCTGTTGATCCACAGAGATGCCCTGTCCGTCCCTGTAACTGTCCCAGCTGCTGTCTGCTCCCTGGCAGCCTGGGTACTGCCTCCTCGCTCTGGGTCTGTCATTGCAGTGAGCCTCACCACGCAGCACAGACGCTACGGCCACGTCCTCTCTTCCCACGGCACAACAGTCCTCATATTCCCAACCGAGAAGCCTTGGCTTCTGCCTTGGATCCTCCACACCGTGCTTTGTTCCGGGATGAGCGCACATAGTCCTGCCGGGGTGCAGCACAGGCACTGACTCCCTCTGCTCCCTGACGCTGCTCCTCTGCTCTGCTCCAGTGCTCCTGTCCCCAGTGAAACATGGACACTGCTTCCTGAAACCAGCCTGAAAGAGGACAGGGTGCGGGCCCAATCGCTGCCAGCCCCAGCCTCCTCCACCTGCTGCCCCAAGTAATCAGTAACCAGCCCGAGGAGGGAGGCCAGGGCTGGGCAGGCTCTCACTGCCCAAACCGGCTCCGCAGCTTTGCCAAAGCCTCTCTGCAGACAGCTCAGAGGCAGGGAAAAGGAGAGCACTGGAGCGTGCAGAGGCCCTGCCCCAAGACCAACATCCTCAGGGAAGGGAAACCTGTGTGGAGACTTAGGAAGCCACGGGAAACGTGTGGAGACTTAGGAAGCCACGGACCAGAGATGGGATATCCTAAACAACGTGGTCTGGCAGAGGCTGGGTATTCCTCCACACCTCACAAAGGAAAGCCAAGACATTCAAGTTGCCCCTGGCTCAAAACTGATGTTGAGCCCACTCTTTTTCCAGCCCTCACCCACAGGTCCTGGAAGAGCAGGAGAGGAGCAGCTCCCTGTGTGACACAGCATCACAGAGTAGTGCCTACACAGTGCCAGTGCAGCCACAGCTGCCCAGTTCCCTGCCCTGGGGCTGGTGACTGTGCTGATAGGAACAGGCTTGAAGGTACTATGTGTGTTATGGTGCCAACACACAGCATAAGTTTCCAGAAGGCTATAGAAACATGAACTCCAGAAACTCCTCTTGCTGCAGGGCACAACATATTCCCAGTTCCCCATTCCTATAAGAAACCAAGAAATGACCACAGCACACACTAGAGAAAAAGCAGGAGAATCCATGGATGTCCACCTATGTCTCAGGTTCTTACAACATTTGTTAGGTATACATAGTGAATGCTCCCAGCTGGTATGGGTCAAAAATCAAACAAATGGACCTTCCTTCTCCAATTGCAGGAGGGCAAGCACTACTTCTGCCCAGGCCTGCTGATCAGTGAACACCCCAGTGTGCACTCAAGACATGCCAAAGCAGCAACCTGCAGATTTTAAACATGTGTTTTAGAAGACCACATTCTTTCTGCTCTTCCTTTGGCTCCCCAAAGGACACACCAAGGGACTGGCTCCCCCAAGATGATGCCAGCCCTACTTTGTCTGCTGATCAATGCTTAGGGAAAGCTCTTCTCCCTCCAGCATGCCTCTATGTGCCCCTAACAGTGACAAGGCAGAGGCCATCCCTGAGGCATGATGCAAACATGTTTTGCTGAACTGATGCAACATCACATTACTGATTTGGCCCACAGCACTTAGAACTGGGTTAGCCAGCATGAGACATGCTCTCTGACCATGCTGAGATGCAGCAGGAGGGATGCAGCAGAGCTTCGGTAGGACATAGCTTAGGAACAGAGAAGCTAGTTATAAATCCTCAGGTCTCTTGAAGTGGTGAAAAATCCCCCAGGACTACTAAGAGGATAACTTGACAGGCAGGATGTCTCAGGACAGTGTTAGTTCCTGCCTGAAACTTTTGAGTAACCACCCAGTAACCACCACAGCACAGGTTCAG